GGGAAAGAGGTGCGAAGGAGTTAGACGGGAGAAACAGTCAAAGGAGCAAGTGGCAGATATAAACAGAATGTGGGCAGAAATGGGATGTGTGGCTACAGAGAGAGGAGGATGGAGAAAGGGCGGGCGGTGTCACCCAGTCCGTGTTAACATTCCTGGGGAAATTCACTCACTGTTCCCCCCACAACACTCCCTAAACCACCACAGAGGGGGTTCATTATCTCACTTTACTCTTCCACTAATTATCGTTATCATTATGGGGGATAATTACCATTTCACTGCCTAACACCCATGTAGACTGCTCTGAGTCACACACAAGGTTATCAATAGCTGCTCAATTGCAGTCTCATCTATCTAATTATACGATTTGGGCTTTGTGATAACTGAATAGGATGTGAAATCTAGTATTATGCCTTGTGAGTACTGTGAGCTGCAGAAAGTCAGCAGAAGGCTTAATAAACCAATGTGTGCCTGTTAATTAAAAGCTGTGGCTTTTGCTGGGGAAGAAAATCAGAACAAATCCAGGGTTATGAAACAACTGGAAATCTAAAATATCCTGCTGGGTGTGCAGTCAAATCCTGGGAGCTGTAACTTCACATCTCCTGTCTTTGATTGCTTCCACTCTTTGGCTGTAATAGAACATTTACGTGTTATCTGATTTCTGGGCTCTGCTTTATTTCTTAACTAAGATCTACTTTCACTAAACCTACAATATTAGAACCAATTGAATCAATTCATATTACAGTACTAATGAAGAGCCACAGCAGTGCCAGAGCCAGACCTGAGCTACCTTTGTTGGCTGTGACTCATGCTAAGCTTAGTAGCTGTGCCTGTTGAGGGGGTTTCTAAATTCCTCTGTGGCATTCTGAGGTTGCAGCTGACGCCTCAGACCTGATGAATGCTCTCTCCATCTGCTGCAGCTCAATACTGGAGCACAGGACTGACACAGGCCTAATCAGCAGGAGACATTCACTAGACCGGCTTTCTGCTGCTTGCATAGAGAAGCAGGGCTGACAGGAAATCAGGGCATGTGTACAGAGGGTACAGAAAAAGAGCGAAGGAAGGTCACTGTACAAACTGTTCGGTAAGCGTATGACACGCAGGCCAGACTGGTGGAATGTGTGCCACACAGGACCTCATGACGGACAGGAGGCACATTTCTCTTTGTCCCCAATTACTAGAGGTGCTTCTTTCCACCAGCTAATCTGTGGCACACAGGGTGGCCCCTCCTCTCTACTGTGGCTTCTCCAGCCTGTGGTTTCCCCGCAGAGTCATGTGAATGGTGGCATCTGTTGACCTGGATGTGTCTGACCTCTAACGAAACCACTGGCAATCAAACTAGCAGTCTGTCTGTACCTTATCACGTGGACTGCCTCTAGCTTTTTTTTATTTATTTATTTTTTTTTTTTAGAAGAAGAATCTACTGTACAGTAGTTTAGAGCCCAAGGTGACACATTTGCATAATAAATTCAAGCATTTATTGATTTATCAAAATAGTTGCCGATTGATTTTTCTGCTAAGTCATTATTGTCAATATGACGAATGTGTTGATAATCACCAATACATGAGGTGCACTATAATTAACACCATATGTTCCTTTTATAATGGTGTATATAGACTTCTGCTTGTATTCGGCTTCTCAAATAATTTGTCAAGCAAAAATGCAGTAGCTGATTATTTATTTATTGCTGTTTTATATCATTTAAAACTGATTTTGACCTGTTTCTGCAGATAACAGCTTTGGAACTTTCAGTGGTTGTTGTTCACTGTATTCTTGCATTTTTAGACTTAACTTTAATTGTTCTTTAACATTTTTAATGCTCAGAAGATTTCTGTTCAGTAGCAGCATTTCAATGTTATCAGAAGCTGATCTGACCGCTGATTCTCTCCACAGAGACACTCATGGACTCCACTACCGCCACAGCCGAGCTGGGCTGGACAGTCTACCCCGTGTCAGGGTCCAGTGACAACAGTGTAAGTGATATGCTCTCCTTTTACTGTGCTCTTATAATGAAAGGCTAATCTAACTTTATTTAAGTAATATTATACTTTAAATAACAGCTCAACTGTAAGTCATTTGCATTGTTACAAAGATGAGGTGTGTGTGTGGTGGCCCATGCTTTTGTTAGAGGTGCAGCTAATTTGTAAATTGCTCAGTTTCACATGAAAACTTTATTTCTGTTGGCCACCAAAGTTTTAGTTTCTCACTCAAAGGCTAAAGATCGATTAATGAGTCAATCTTCTACCAGCGTGAGCTAAATTATTTCTCCCTAAAACTGGGGAAAAATCCAACTTGTAATTTAGATAGGAATAATTTAAATGTAATTATGCAATTTTAGGTCTATAAACATTGGTAAGATGAAAACTTTGAACATGCTAAGCTCAGTTAATTTTGGATATTTCTGTAGTTCCACAAAAACTCCCTTGTTTACTCTTATATTTGAGGATTCACTGACCACATTTCCTTTTGAGTTATCCTTCCATAAATAATCAGTTTTTTTTTTTCTTCTTAAATCCTGAACTGACCTTCATGGTTCACAACAAACAAAATATGAGTGTAGAGTCATAAATGTAAGCTAATTATGAGTGTTCACGTGCCAGACTAGAAGTTGTGTGTTATATGTTGGTGTTCGATGCACGGTATTTCCACATTGTTTGCCAGGGCATTGGTTCCTTCTAGCCACATGTAAGCCAGGCCCACTTAAAGCCAGCCAAAACCAGTCTCAGTCTCTTTCACTTCTTTCTCCACCACAAGATTCAGACTTTTTAGAACGGGTCCAGAACAGAGAAAAAAAAGTTGTAGACTTATTTGCTGGTGCATTTAAAAAAAACCGCTGCCGATTTTATTCAATTATTTATGCTTCTGTGGTTTGCATTAAAGATGGTTTGAATTATACTCTCACGCTGTGTCTTTTTGCACTAGAAAAGTAAAAACATGGGAGCTGGCCTTCAACAGTTCCATGATACAACTTCAAAGATATTCAATAATAATTTAGGACAACTTCATCTTTTCTAACCTGAGGGCACGTTGTCTCTTCGCTGCTAGTTCCTACAATCAATACCAAAGCACAGAGACGCCTGGTTTCCTTTTCTCTCACCAGCTCTGGATTCAATCTGCACAGACTGATCTTACACACACACACACACACACACACACACACACACACACACACACACACACACACCCCACCTCCAAAGACAGTTTACATCACATCTTCCTTTCATCTTTGCAAAATATTAGATTCAGCAAAACATTCACTCAACACATGGTGTTTCATAATCTTGTTAAATACTAAGTGGAAATTTCAGAACTTAAAAGTTGAACACTTGGAGGAATAAGAAGTCGCTGTTCGAACTGTTTTGTGCAGTGAAGTGTTCACTCTGCGGTGAACGTGTGATCTTAACTTCAAACTGCAGAGCCCTCGGCTCTCCCAGAAACGTGGTGCACTGTATGATTCTGCAGTTTTCTTTTCGAAATCAAATATCTTCACATTCAGTTTCACTGAACAGCTTATCCGTGAGGACTTTTTATTTCATGCTCTTATTTTCTGGGTTTGACTTGATATAATTCCATGCTCCTCTCTGAAAACCATCATGTACAGTTATGATATAGGCTGTCTCTCTCCTGGAGTGCAGTGAAATGCAAACAGGCCCCTAAGCCCCTGATTTAGTCAGGTATAGTTCAGCCTTATCAGTATGATCACTGGAGCTTTATGATGATATGCCCGAGATCATTGAGCACAGTCTATTGGAGAGGGGCGAGTGAGCGCCATGAAGATTGCTTGTCCCTTGTGGCCCAGGGAAACAGGTGTGGAAACAGCAAGAAGCGCTTTACAGAAGATATTGTCTTACACACATATATCCATGGCTGCATGGGCTTAGCTGGTGGATCACTAACATCCAGCAGAGCAATGCACCAGCAGTTGGCTTTCACTATTGTCTGTGGCTTCATGAAATATATCCTAACTTGACATGTGATACTTTGCGACACAGTGGAAATGCAAACATGTAACTGTATGATATTAAGTCAGAGATGTTATGGCAGTTGCTGTTAGTCCGCTCTTTAATTTTACAGGATATTTGAACAATGCCTCTCACATTATTCATATGAGAAATTCTTTTAAATACAGCTATAAAACTTTCTCTGGTAGGTTTTTCTGAAGTGCTTTGTGTAAAACAATGTTACACTTCAGCTTGTGTAAATCAAACTTTATAACCCTGCCTCTGTAACGCCAGGCAGTTCTTCCTTTTAATTATGCAAAATGACAGCCGAACTGCTGTTGTCGCTGAGCCAGAAGAGCACGACATCTTCATTATTCTTGATAGCAATGTCGGGAACATTCAGAACCAGAGCCCCAAACCAGAATTTAATCTGGGGAATTTTAGGAAGTTTACTTTATTCTGGCTAACGCTCTGAGATTCTGGCCATTGGTATGTGTCGGATCCTGCGCTCCACCCACATGGGAAAGGTGGTCGGTGTTAAAGTCGGTGTAGTCGGGCTATCATGTAAATGTGTCTCTGGGCTCAAGGACTTACCCTTAACCCCAAGTGTGAATGTACACAAAACACACAGTTAACCACTGGTGGGTGCTCAGACCCCTTTAAGTACAGTAAAACTAGCAATACCACAGTGTAAAAACACTGTTACAGGCAAAACTCCTGCATTCAAATAGTTAAGTACAAAGATTCTAGCATCAAAACAAGCTTAAAGTACTAAAAGTGAAAGTACTCATTATGCAGAGTGGAACATTTAACATTGGTGTATATTATATTGTTGGATTATAATTACTGATGCATTATTGTGTACAACACATCGCAGTTTTAAGTACCTTATCTGCTTGGAATTCAAAGTACTTGGCAGCATGTCAATAGTCTTATGATTATACTGTAATTTTAGTGTTGATCTGTTTCTGAGAAGTAACTAGTAATTAAAGTTTTGAAATAAGTGTAGTGGAGTAAAAAGTACAACATTTGTAAAGCAAATGTAGTGAAGTCAAAGTATGACGTAGTGCAAAGTGAAAATACTCAAGTGAAGTACAGATACCTCAAAGCTGTATTTAACTACCACACTTGAGTAAATGTACTTGGTTACTTTCCACCACTGTGTAGAAGTATCTGGTGCTGTTTCACAACAAGTTTACATTTTGGTTTTACATATACTTGCCAGTAGAAATGATTGAGAAAGAGTAGTTTAAGTAGAAAAAAAACTACTACGGAGACGCATGACTTCCCTTTAAGAATGATATTACAAAGAAACTTGTGCTTCTCGTTTAACATTTGTCTGTTTAAACTTACTGAACAATCTTGACCCAGTGAGAATCTGCTGTGTCACAAGGAGCTAACATGTAGCCAGCTAGCGGAGCGGGGTTAAGTGGTCAGTGTTTTCTTTTCAAGTGGAAGTGAGAGACGTGGGAACATCAGGTCAGATCTTCTGACCCAGGCTCTGCTACCCTGAAGCACTGGCAACAGCAGTAATTTAGAAGCACACTCGTGGCCACAGGGTTCACGCAGAGCTACAATGGAAGGAAAACTGAGGTCGCATGCATAGGCGGAGAACGTAATGATGTGGTGTAACAGGTTATGACTACTGTGGTGTTATCTGGGGGGGACACCACACTGAGTTCTGCAGGAAAGCAATAAACAGAGCATGTTGCAAAATGTTTGTTAAACAAATCAGGTTCTGTGTATTGTATTAAGAGTTCCTTTGGAATAGGATTGAGGTTGTGTGGCAGACCAGCACGGATGCTTTTTTCACTTAGCCTTTGTTTTTTTTTGTTTCTTTGTGTGCAAGTAATTTGTTGAATTTATTTCACTGTATTGGACTCAACTGGGATTTAAAGTGGCCGCTAATTTACTGTGATTCGCAATTAAATTCTGTGAAATTATATTTTAGGGGTAAAGCATAGAAATATGCAAACATAATCCACATGTAACTTTGTGGAATGGGGACAAAAGGTGTAATTGTTCTTCTAGTTTCACATGTTGTGCATTAGTAGTGGACAGCGGTAATTGGAGTTGACTGCAGCAGACAGTTCTGCTTAAGTCTGTGTGGGTGCGTGTGTGAGTCTCTCCGCTCTGTGAAGCTTGGTCTCCTGCAGGATTTGGCTTCCACGGCTTCTCTCATAGTAATTGAATGCAGAGAGTGGGTGTCATTTCTCCTCTGTCCCTGTAGGGAAGGCACTCTTAGGCTCTCACAGATTTCCCACAACTGCAATTGTGCCCTGGGAGTTTTCCACGGGGTCTCTCTGTGTTTTTTATGTGAATAATTTATTTACATCTGTCATTGATAGAGCAGTGATATGTAGCGTTGCCCTGGATCTCAAAGCTAGCTCAGGTTAATTCAAACACTGCAGTGACAAGCTGTAATAAATACACAGTTCATGTTATGTCAAAACAATTAAATGTCTGGGTTTTCTGATGGTGCGTTCACACTGCGACTTGTCTGACGTGTCACTTTATTCTGACCGTTTGTGGGTTGTACAACTTCTGTAGTTGACTTGTGCAGATACTCTTTACACACTAAAGGGAAGCTGCTTTAAAAAAAGTCATTAATAGTTTTTATTTACAGTTAAAATCACACAAAGTGCATTTAACAAAAATCAAATCAATATTTCATAGTGCTTTATTTTATACGTCCACTCTTTTCAAATAATTTGCTGTAAAAAACCGTGTTATTTGGTACTAATTACAGAAAAAGAGACAAAGTTCTGAGAAAGTTTCAGTTGCTGTGTAGAACAGCAAATAAATGGTTTAATCACTTTTTTTTTCTAGTTAGTCCACTGAGTTGTGTTGAGTTTATTTTGTCCACCAGATTAATTTTCATGAAAGAAACTGCTCAGTTGAAACCTCACTGAATATTTGCTGTTCATTTAGTTTTTATTTGAAATGTTATTTTTCATCTATACTGAACTGCTTGGTTGCTTGTAGACAAATTTCACTCTTTGCATGTGTAGTTCACCTTCTCTTCTCTGAAT